GTCCTCTACTAAGAGACAAAGACCCAAAGATGGATTTGTGTAGAACAAGTCCAAAAGTACTGTATAAGTCTTATGTCAAGCTTTTGATTAAGAGAGCTCTACAAAACAGAGCTGTCAGTGCGTGGAACGAAAGGCTCGGAGGACAAAAACCGCAGTGGAGGACGCTCTACAAGCCTCCAATAAGAAAACGAACTGGAGATCTTCAGTGGAAGATCCTTCATGGTGCCGCGTTTTTCAAACGCGTTTTTATCGGTCACAAGTCCTGGGGNTAAATATACTAAATAAACTAATTTTTGGTTTCGTTTTCTACTGAAGTGACACAAAAAGTTGCTAAACTTACTTTTAAAAACAAATCCTTCAGTCTGCGGTGAATTTCCAAACTACGCCGATTTTTAAAAAAAAAATAAAAACTCCTCCGTCTTCATTTCTGTTTATTTTGCTGCCCGCGCATTGTATCCTGGAATATCCTCGGCCAGTGAGGATACACGGATGCATCCTCGTATTTCGAGAGTTTGTCTGCCGCATTCCTCTGCCACATTGGGACAGTACTCCCCACAGGGCAGTGACGTATGCGGCCGACAAATGCSCACTCATGAGGACCCAGCCCATGAACACAGCCTCTGATTGATTTACTAATCTTTTCATGTTTTTGCAAAAGAACCATTACTTAACAAAATGTGTTTTGTAAACTACTCAAAAAAAGTTTTTGCTCTACTAATGGCTCTGAGCTGAGACAACTAACATTTACATGTTTTACTGGTTTTGGGAGGGTCTTGTCAGTGACCTGACTGTTGTTTGCCAACATGAAGAGGAAGAAGAAAACTAGCAGAGCTCAATGCATATTTCTTCTGACTGTATTGGCTGCATGGTTGCTGACTGCATTGTTTCTGCTGCATTACAATGATTCCTGGCCATGATTTTTACTTGGTAGTTCAGCTGTGTTAGTTTGTTTCTTTTTTTCTAACCACCTCATTTGATTGGTGCAGAGCCTRTGAGGGATCATGGGTAATTTTCTTTTCTTTCCCATTCCCTCACAAACGTTGTAAATTATCTTGACATTTTGTAAAAGCARMACAYATGACAGCATAAATTGACTTATTCTTGTTCTCTCATTATCCAAGGCGATCTGTTGTAATTCAGTAATTTTATTCACTAATGACAAGCCTGAAAACAGTGAGAGCGCAGTTGTTGTGGAATAGCTGACGACTCTGGTACAACCTGCATTCTAACAGGTCTCTCTTGGAAATGAGATTCTGGGTCTCACTTAGATAACCTGTATAAATAAAGGTCAAATGAAATGAAAAATTCTCTTAATAATTCAAATCTTTAACATTGTGACATATTTACTCAATTTTTCTCTGTCCTGCACCTGTCATTTCTGTCCAATGGGAGCAATGACTGTCACCAGCTTGGCTTTGTTCATGAATTATAACCCATTTGCAAAAAGCACAATGTGAAAGCAAACTGCACCAAAAGAAAAAAATTAACTCTGCTATTTGGTCCGGATCAAACAAGTGGAATAAAGGACTTTCCCAGTATGAATACACCCGAGTTTTTCGGGCATGCCCTCTTTTTTACCCAATCATGACACTCACTGGTTTACAATTAACTTGTTCACCTGTGGAATGCTCTAAACAGGAGTGCTTGGAGCTTTCTTCAACTTTCCCAGTCTTTTGTTGCCCCTGTACCACCTTTTTTGGAATGTGTTACAG